CATTTGTTACTATTCTAATTTTTCAATGTTATTTTTCTTTAAAAAAAAATGGGGGGGGCATATGGAAAACAGTTTGTCCTTACAGATGTTTCTTCAAGTGTGTTTCTGGCTTTTGGATACATTTTTCCCTCTTTTAAAAGTTGATCCAAATATCTGTTAAACTCAACCTCCTAAACTTTCCAGAATTGTTTTCAGCTCATATAAAAGGCTTTAACCTTCGACCTCTTTAGCTTTGGCCTCACTATGTTTATGACTATTTTTAAATAACCAGATTTTTGGTTGCTATTGAAAGACATTTATAAGAGCAGAAACTTAAACTGTGGGCCTTGGATCTGGAGTTGGGAAAACCTGGATCTGTGTAGCTTTTCAGTCTTTACTAATTGGAAACCTCCAAGGCTCCAACAGCAGGAGTGAACACAGATAGGTTGGTTTATGTGCAAGGATCGGAGGCTGCAGAGAAAATCTGTGCAGGCTACCCACACTGAGTGAGAGAAAAGGCTTCCTCTTCTAGTGCCTTCTGTGGGGATTTCTTAGGGTCACTTAAACACTTTACTACAGAAGGGCAAAGGATGCATCAGTTCTTAGGGCATGAATATCACACGTGGACTTCAACTGGGAAATGCAAGTAACACAAAGCTGATGGCCAAAACTATTCTTCACCAGGGCAATGACTGCCAAGCCGCCTCCTCCCTGCTGGCTCCCTTATATTTTTTTGCAACCCTGTACACCATCAATGCCACAGGCAGTCCTCTCAACATGGAGCACTCTTTGAAGACTTGGCAGCCCTTGTGCTCCTAGATGTTTCCATTGCCCCTTCATATGCACTCCTACGTCTTCGACAGAGAGGGAGCGAGCCAGGGAGCAATGTGAGAGCTAAACAGAAGACTGGGTTACAACACAACAGCATTCAAAGGTCTGGTTGCCTATTCCTTTGGCAATAAAGCTGCTTTGGAAAACTCTTTGAGCCCTATTTCAATGAAAACTAAAATCAAAATAAAGCAAAGGCAGCCTTGGAAGAAAAGGAATCAAATTCTGCATTTACATATAGGGGTATCAATACTGATACAGATTTAGATACATTTGTTATACATTTTATGCATCCATATTAAACACACATATGCGTAATCCTTATACAGATGGTCAAACACTAACACAGGGGCATTAGCAGGGGCTTCTGCAATTATGGTAGCTAGATATTCGACCAAAAAGCAGTAGGACTGTGTAAAGGCACAGAAATGAACGTGGGAAAATAGACTGGGAGAAATTCTACCTCCTGATATCTTTATTGAAACAAGGCCCATAGCCTATTGGACACAAGCAACAAGAAGTTTAAACTATTCAAACAATAATGAAAGATAGATTCTAGGTTATCAGCAAGATATGAACACCAATATGGCACTTCTGCTGACTTCAGACCTGGAAAAAGACACATATTCCAAAGCCACACATTCAAAGGCAGGGATGCAGAAATTGAAGATGTTCATGTGCAAAATGAAAGCCAAAGTGAACCCTTCAAACTTAAACAAAAATAATTGTTTAAAACAGCGTATAAAAGCTGACATACCAAAAACCCAGACAAAGTGACTTCTTATCTATGGCCATTACTTATCTGGAATAATTTTTTAAAATAAAAGAAGAAAAGGAGCTTTTTCCCCTTTAGAAACTTAGAAAAGTCCCTGGTCTCTCTCTAGCCATTCACATGTTAGCCATCCTCCCAACATTAACTGTTTTCCAATTACCAAACTAAAGTGGATGAAGTTGAAAATTCCTCTGATCATTCCATCAATTAATATTTATTGAGTGCCAACTCTTGGCTAGGCACTAGGTAGATAAAGATGAACAAGACAAATATGAACCCCGTCACTATGGGGCTCACAGTCTGTGCTCCTCGTTCTGGACTGGACCATCAGCACTGGGTTTATGGTAAATCAACAGAACAAAACCTGATGGAGCTTACCATCCTATAGCTCCAAATCCAAAGTCAACAGCACAGCTCACTGGTTGTGTTCTCAAATCCAGGTTTAACTCACTAGTTTGGAATTTAGAAATCACCTTCTCATGGAAGCAATGCCATAAATAATGCTCAGGGTATTAGGTCAATCCACAAAGCTTGAGTTGACCTACATTCAGCTATAGTGTTATCTTAAGAGGTTTCTGGTTTGTGTTAACCCGGGCCCTTCGAATCAACAGTATTAAGCTGTAGTTTATAATCTCAAGGTTTCCACTACAGATTGAAATAGTCGACACTGGAGATAAACCGTGAAGTGCTAGGGATGGGCAAAAAGTTGTAAGCAGCTATGGGTGAGCCGGCCGCCATCCTTCTGTCTCAATCTGTCTCCAGGATAACAGAATAAGGATGGGCTTAGAACCTCCCTGGAGGATGCTTATGAGGGCAGGACTTACATTCAGAGTAGCTCATCTGCACACCGGCCACTGGCCTCTCACACGGCCTAGCTCTGGCCAAGGCTGTGCACAGTTCATACCATCTTTTACCCAGAAATCAAGACTGTCAGATTGCCTGGTTATTTCGGGAACTATAACAGTGTTTTTACGTAGTCTTCCCTTTTTAAGGCATATGTTTTTCAGTGGTAACCCCAGCTCTAATAGCATTTGAAGTACATTAACTTACATTAATGTTTAAATGTCACTTTTTATGCAGTTTCATTTGCATTCAATGCACGACCCACATCTTAATTTCTAGATCCCCGAAGATTATCCACTCACATCTGACTTGTAAAACAATAACCCCAGATCAGGCTCAATTTGTTCATATTATGCCACAGATAGACATGTAGCTAAAAACAGAAAAACAAGCTATTCTAAGCAGGAACATGAGTCTCTGAGACAAAATTTCTAAAATCAGTTTTATTTATGTTTAGGAATAAGGAAGCAAAATCTACAATACATGTAATAGTTCACTGCCTGAAGGAAGTCATTTACTGCCTCTGTGGCAAGGTTCAGCAAACTCTTTCTGACAATTCATTAAGGATATCCTCAGGTCATATTCAGAAAATGTAGGTGCTTTAGTGGTAATCACACCCAAATTATCTAAATAAAATTCTGTTTCAGTCTTAGCCTTTAGGATAAGCTGGGGTCTGATATGAAAACAGTCTTCTCTGAAACAAAACATTTATCTTCTTTTTTCCCCTCCATTGCTGCACTAGAGAGAGTAGGTTGACATTTACTGGTAATTCTGTCAGTGGATTTCCTAAACCAAGGGTAGAGAGGGGCTCCCAAATTTTACTTCAAGGATTGCCAAAGCTTTTGCTGAGCTCCCAGAAGAACCTGGACACATGCTTTCTGTGAAGAGCCCATGGGATGAAAGATCTCAAACTAAACCCTTCAAGACGAGAAATTCTCCTGCTAGGATCCAGTACTTTGCAGTGAAAGCTATGCTTGGGGACATGCACTCCAAGTGCCTCTATGGAAAGAAAGCACCTGACAAAAATGAGAAAAAACAAATGCCATGGTAGACAGTGGCCTAGCATGGGCCAGAGTGCCAGCTGAGAAATGGGGACTCTGAAAGGTCTGCAAAGCAGTGGGTGACTTTGGTCTGCAGTGCCTCCCCCAACCCCTTGCCACACTCAAAAGAGGACGTGGTAGCCCACGTGTGGTGTATGACATGGAACAGTGATCCTCAAAGAATGCTCGGGCAATAGCAGCTTCAGAAACTCAGAAATGCCAGTTCTCAGGTCCACCCCAGACCTACTAAATCAGAAACTCTAGGGGGCGGCCCAGAAATCTACGTTTTCACAGGTCCTACAGGAGCTTGTGGCTCACAGTCAAGTTTGAATTAAAAGCACTGTAGGGCAGTCCCTCTCCCAAGCATTACTGATAATTGGAGAATGAAAGATCTTTTCTCCTCCTAAAGAAATGTCAAATATCAGCAGGCCAAGGAGGAGGAATCAGGGAGAAGTCTTAGGGGTTTTTTAAAGCCCCAATTTACCACTACTTCTCCCTGTTCATTTCTGGCTTGGGAATCTTGGTCACAGGCACCAACAAAGGGAGAGAAAGAAACATCAGAAATAGATCTAATCTACCCCAGAGCCCAGCCCTTGCTGCTACTTCGACATTCCCTTCCAAGCAAACAAGCAACATTAACAGTAATTCTAATAGACCCTACAGATGGAGGAAACCCACCAGACCCGCTCTCCAATACCACCACTACGCCACTGAACCTTCTCAGCTTTTCCACTCAGACACTTAAAATAGTGTCTATCTGTAAGAGACCACATAAAATACAACATATTTTGTACATATTAGCCAATACATAAGTTTAAACTTCAGAGCAAACGATTTTAAATCAATGAAACTCTTCACTTTTTATATAACAAGAATACTTATATAAGTCTTTCCCCCCTCAAATTAATTTTAAATCCTCTTTTAAAAAAAAAAGGCCAACTATCTATTTTTGGACAATATAGACCCTAATTTTTAATCCAGCATTGAGAATTTTTCCACTGGGAAAAAAAGAAAAACCATTCATTCACAAAGCTCCCAGGTAACACCAATGGCTATTGTTACTTTGCTTCCCAACTCTGTTGTTTAAATTTCAAAGAACGAGAATCTGGAGAAGCAGTCGCCACACCAAAAGTATACCACTGAGGATGTGAGAGTCAAATGTGCAGCAGGCAAGACTCTTCTGCCAAAGTACACATGTCCAGACTATCCTATCTCCACTGTGCCTCACTTGCCTTTCTAGAGCAAAAGGAAAAATCAAGCACTATTTGTCCATATCATCATTAGTCACTGGATACTCAAGAAAACAGTTCTGTGTCTTGCGGGACAATTGTCCTCATGGGAAAGTGGGTAGTGCTGAGTAATCAACATTATTTTGCTGTGTCTAGATTTGTAGTGTCACATCCTTGTTGCTATTTTTTCAGCCTTTTCAAACCTAATCATCGTAAATCTAGCTGCTTCCTTCTTTAGTGGTAATTAGCATTAGTCATAAGCCAAAAACGATTCCACATAAGAAGCAAAATAAACACAACCCTTCTTACCTTTCATGCCAAACTTGGAGTGTCTTGCCAACTTAAGCAGAAACAGCATTACCAGCAGACAAAATCCCACCACAGATGCAATTACCACGACAGCATAGACCTAGAGAAGGGAAGGGAGGGTGGTTATAACCTTGCTAATTAATTCCCTAAAATCATATGGTAATGATAACGACAACGATGATGCCAACAGTTAATATCGACTGAATGCCTACCACTTCCTCCGCCAACAGCTTTATACACATCAACTCACTTAATCCTCAACAACCCTACTATGAAGTATGTAGGACCTGCTATTAGGTCTACTTTGCAAATGAGAAAACATAAGTTAAAGCTTATAAAAATGGGTAACTAATTGGTATTTTATAGATATAGATATTACATCCATCCATCTGGGAGGAAGAGAAGAGAGAGACACAGAGAGAGAATATGAAACATGAATGGCAAAATACTGATGATTTTTGAAGCTGGTGAAGAATGCAGGGGGTTCATTTGACTATTCTATTATAGTGAATGTTTAAAAACTGTTCAGAATAAAAAGATATTTTTAGGTCAGCTGTTGCTGCTCTTAGAAGTCAGGGTACTCTGGGAATGGTGAGTCGGACAGGAAGGGAAGCAAGAGGGCACTTTTGGGGCAAGTTCCACTTGGGAAAGCTCATTGGATTGTTCATTTATGACACGTGCATTTGTCTAAAGGTATGACATAAGCCCCTAAAAAGTGTTCTTAAATTTAAAAGTGTAAGTGGAAGAGTTAGATGCACATATACGTGAATCCTGTCTCAACGCAGAGGTGGGGATGACAGAGATACAGGTAGAAATGTGATCTTGCTGTCACCAGCACTGCCGATCTATTCTAAGTGCATCTTAACATTTTTGAAAGAAAGATATAAGCAGCACTTTCTAACTCCTTCCAGTCTTGCTCAGCCCAAGGTCCTGCTTCCAAAAAAAGTTCAATTCTCTAAAGCAGGCAAAGTTTTGCTATAAAGGGTCAGATGGTAAATATTTCAGGCTTTGCCAACTAAGCAGTCTCTGTTGCAACTAAGTACTCAACTCTGCTAGCGTAGCTTGACAGTAGCCATGTAAAATATGTAAACAAATGGGCATAACTATGTTACAATAAAACTTTATTTACAAAAACAGTACCTGGACTTGGACATAGTTTGCCAACTTCTGCTCTAAACTGTCTTAGATGTCCACACTGACTTAAGATGCATAAGCTTCATTATTTCATTTAATCTGCATGATAATCCTTAAAATGGATATTATTATCCCCATTTGTGGTAATCATTAGCGCTGTTCACCAAATATTTCTGGTTTTCTCTGTGTTTCTTTTCGTAGGATGTACTTCCTGGCTTGCTTGTGGGTAGGTGGCTTCATATGACTAGTTGAGACTTAACGTCACGGCCAGGGTGTAGAATTTCACTTCTAGTTCGAGATCTTAGTGTAAAGCAGTGGTTCCCAACCAGGGATCATGTTGCCACCCAGAAGACATTGGGCAATTGTCAGGACCTGGGGGCCAGGAGGAGGGGGAGGGTACTACTGGCATCTAGTGGGCAGAGGCCAGGGATGCTGCTAAACAACCTACAGTGCCCAGGGCAGCCCCCTCAAACAAAGAATTATCCATCCCCAAATGCCAATAGTGCCAAGTTGAGAAACCCTGCTCCACCCTGCTCTGGAGCTCTCTTTCACTCTGTTATAAAAAATGCTAACTTTCTAAAACGTGGCTGCTTTGTAAGTCTACTCGCAGAACGAGGACAAAGCTGAACAGAGCTCCCAGCCAACACATGTAATGCAGCAAGAAAGAAACCTTCATTGTTTTAAGCCACTAAGATTTGGGGGTTTTGTTACTGCAGCATAGCTTATCCTGACTGGTACACTCATCTCACAGTGAGAGGCAGTACAGAGTAGAGATTGAGAACATGGATTCTTCCTGAGTGTTCACCACTTATTAGCTTACTTAACCTCTCCGCATCTCACAATCCTCATGTATAAAATGGGAAATCTAATAATTCTACCTTATTGGTTTTTGTAAATCCTTAATTGGGCTTGGAACAGTGTCTACCACAATAGATAATAAATTAATGTTTGCTGTGATGATGATGATGATGATGATGATAAAACTAAGATTTAGAAAAAATTAAATAAGCAGCTTATGATCACACCTCTCAAGCTTGGGATTTGAACCAAAGTCTTTGCAAGTATAAAACTTGTGATTTATTCATTACACTGTCTCTTTGAGAGGTTGAGAATGAAGGGAGAAAAATAAAAACATATGGCTAATCCTCCCACGACACCATCTCTGACGTCAGATGAGAACAGCATTAAGTAAGTCACAAAGCACAAAAAAGGGTGGAGCAAAGATATATGATAATTCTCTTCTCTGATACTTTAGTTGCGAGTGGCTCTCCCAGAAAATGCTTCTGCAAACGTTTAAGTACAGACTTAACTCTGTCTATAGGCTACAGAGACTATATACAAACAGAATGGTAGCAATTCCTAAAAAGCTAATTATGGATCAACTTAACCATTTCACTCAAGCCTACCTAATGGTTTTGAATATTTTTTTAATCTTTGTTTCCAACTAATGTTTTCATGGGCTAGAGATCATAGTATTTTACCTATAAGTTTCTCTACCTTATGATTAAATTCCAGACTTCCACAAATAGAGAGTGGTTATACCTAAATAACAAGAGGATATACCTAAATAAACAAGTTCAAACTCCATTTTGCAAATTTTAGTTCCATAAAATTTTCATGTGACACGAAACATCATTCTTCTTTTGATTTTTTTTTTAAACCACTTAAACACATAGAAACTATTCTTAGACTGCAAACAGCACAAAAACGGAGTGAGCTGGACTGGGCCCATAGGCTGTAGTTGGCCAACCCTGGGTTAGCCCACAGTGTGGCATGGAGGTGAAGAGACGTGGACAGATGTGGAATTTATATGGAGGCCGAGTATACAGAAAATGTGGACTGTGCATATGCAACAATAAGGAAAACAAAAGAGTGGAGAAAGCTGTTGAGTTTTGACCAGAGCAACTGACAGACCAATCCCACCATAGACCCCTGGGATCCTCTGACTTCCCCCTTCAGTGGCTCCTCACTGCACCATAAATCTACACACCTGGGACTGTGTTTCAAGGCCTACAATCTGGTCACAACCCACATCTCCAACTCCACTGACCCACACATACCTTACCCTCCAATCAAGCACCTTCGCCATGTTTCCCCATCTGCAAGCTCTTGTTCACAAACCCTGAATGTCCTTCCCCTCCATTCCTGTATGTCCAAATCCCAACCCTCCAGCACAGGCCAAGCAAAATGCCACTTGCCCCACAAAGGCTCCTCTGAATTTCCCAGCTGGAAAGAACGGAACACCTGCCCCACCATTTCTATCGCTGTACTGCATTGCTCTGCCTCTGTTTGTTCTTTAGGTGCTGGTATTCACTTCTAGGCTCTCTGGCTGATGTATAAGCTGCTAAATGACAGATCTGACAGATCTGAAGATTTTAGATCTTCCCACTGACAGTCCCTTCCACAGTCTCCTGGAGTCCTTACATTTGGTGAGCAGTCAAACTTTTATTAAAAGTTCAAGGAGACAGGTGTGAAGGTGCAGTCCTAGAATGAGAAAACTGGTTTCTTGCTCTTCTAGTGTCTTGCTTCTTCTTTTAAAGGACAGATATTTGAAATAGGAACCACTAACAATTAAAAGTGGTGTACAAAAGGAGAAGCAAGTAAGTCAAAGGCTATACAGCACCTGTATCACTTTTCTATTAATATAAATTAATATATTATTATATTAAAAATCTATTCTGTATTTTAATGCCCTGTTTACATCTGAATAATAAAAATATCTTCTTGAAGCAACTACATTCCTCTAACATGTAAATATCCAAAATGCTCAGAACCAATCCAGTAAACACCTATTTATTCCACTCACCGAGAGATGTTCCCGACCAGTTGTGTCAGCAACACCAGTGGGAGGGATATCGTTACTTCTGTTGGTGGTGTCCCCAACGTCATTTGCTGCAGTCCCATAATCTTAAATTGGAGAAGGGAGAAGGAGAAGGAACACGAAGTTGTCATTAGGTTGCCAACTAACATGAGGCCACAGTAAGACCCAGAACGAAGCAAGACAAATTCCAAAGATTCCAAACCACTGACAGCCTTGCTGTGGAGCAGTGTGACCAGGCTACTGAATCAACTGCACAACACCAAGACTTTACTCAACCCAGCTCTTTACTTCATTGTTTTGTTGGTCACATCCTAAATCTGGTTCAGGATTTTTTCTTTGCACATAAGAACATACCCCTTTATCAATGGCATATTTAAAATAAATACAAAAGGCAAGCAATCATCTAAGAGCCATAAATTTATAGACCTGGAAGGGTTTTTAGAGACTGAGCTTAACTGACAGTTTTACAGCTAACGATGTCAGCTGAGGAAAGTTAAATGACCAGTCTGAGGCCACCTGGCAAGAAGGTGGCCGAGCCCAGACATGGCCTCAGACTTGAAAGAAGCAACAGTGATTCCTGGGGCAGGTACATATTATTTGAGTAAAGGGCAGACACTTAAGGTGAAACATGAAATCTGCATCATGATGGAACCTGGCTCCATGCATGAACTTTTTTGAAGAGTTCTGAATTGCCAATTATTGCAGTTTCATTATTATTAATAGAGAGACCAACATGATACTTAGAATTGTAAAGCTATGCTCTCATTTCACCAAGTCTCAAATGCAGTTGCTGTCTTCTGGATCAATTTTAGTCTACATGGATCAGGATGGAAATAATGACTGATTTTTTTGAGGGCAGTCAAAGTTTTTATTAGCATTAATAATATCACATATGAAATGTCATAGAAAACTCTTGGTAAACTTACTGCAGACAATGTTCTTTATAATGTTTGTATTTTAATTCTGAATAGGTACAGTTCCTTCAATTTCCATCCTGGAGAAGCTACCTCATTAACTCAGCCCCAGCTAAACTTCTCTAGGTACACTCATCATGCTGGCCTCGGGGCAACCAATTTAAATTGTATTTTTATTAGCAGAGTGTTCCTTTGTGAATAAACAGTAACATGGAAAACATCTCTTTGCTATCTGTTTGCTGATTCATTCTTAATGCCAAAAACCATATTCTCACAATTTTCATTCTGCATATCTTAAAACTTACTGATTTCAAACACTAACAGATATAATTTATTTGTTTATTTTCCCTCTTCATATTATAGCCAACCAATCATGCAAAATTTAAGTCATTAAAGTATCTATAATTTAATATCATGGCATTTTAGTCCAAAGATCCAAAGTGGGATCTGAAGCCAATGGGAAAATGACATTTTTAAAGTCTTGAAGTCACTGGAAAGGGGTCTAAAACGTAATTTGAAAATGTAAAATCACAATTCAAACATATTACTCTGTTATAGAACTTGAGGTATTCTTCCTTTAAACCATACCAGGACAAATAAAGACCAAAACACACAAATCACACGCACAAAATCAACCAAACAACAGTTCAGAAGAAATATGCCTTAATATATACAAGCAGGTAAACACATATAATTCCCCAGTTAAAATCAGCTCAAGTTAAATACACACACATATAAGAAACATATAAACAGAATCATTTCATAGAAAAAATAAAATGTTAATAAGTATATATAGATATAAAATTAAAGAATGGAATATTTTATAGAATAAATATATAAATAGGACATTTTAATCAATCTAACTTTTAATCATTCTTAAATTTCAAGCCAAGTCTTGAAATGTAGGCTGCCACTTCCCCAAACAGTGGCTTCCTGATCACAAAGGTGGTTTGGAAATCTGTTAAAGATGGGCTTTCACGCCTAGTAAAACATCCTTGGCATTTGAACGAAATAGCAAAGGAGAGATGAGCTATCGAGGCAACAACTAATATAGTGGGCCTTTGGTTTTTTTCCTTTCACATCCCCAAGAGAACCCCATTTTGTTCAAGGGGTTTAACCTATCCATCTCTGGGAAAGCAAACTGAAATGTTAAGGGTGGGTCTAATTAGTCAAGGGCTAATCCCTCCCTCTCATCAGTAATGAGGGCAAGAATACACCATGACCCAACGGGGTCTTGAATCTGATACAAAGAGGGCTTGGTGAAGGTCTTTGGGAAAGTTCTCTTCTGGGACACCTTCAGAAGCTCCTCCCTTTCTCCCATCACTGTGAATGTCAGCAGCCTCCTTGCTGACATCCGCTTATAACCGTAAGGGGAACCGGCCTTCACTGAAGCTGGCACGATGGCAAGAGAGTGCAGAGATGAAGAGAATTTGGGTCCCTGGTGACATAGTTAAGCGGCTGGTTTAACCAACCCTAAAGCAAGCCCTGCCTTTGAGGATTCTCAAAGTCAAACTTCTTCATTATGCAAGAAACATAATTTCGAATTGGGTTTACTGCCATAGCCAGAAACCGATACACTTCCCTTTTCTTGGTAGTCATGGCTTTTAAACAGGTAATTAGTTCCCAATTACGAAAATAAAATGTCTGTTACAGCCAGCAAAATGGATTTACTACTTTCAAGAACAGAACATGAGAGAGAAATTGCTATTTACAGGCACTACAAATGTCAAGGGAAAATGACCATCAATATCGAATGATTTTTGAAAAAGTATTTTTGACTATGTAATGCTTAAAGTGTATATATTTAACGGAGCTTAGAGGTCTTCTTTTAGTTGATTTATTTCATTATACACAAACATTTGGAAAACATACAATATAAAGAAAACATGATAGCTACCTTCATAAATTACATCAGGATAATTCGGATTTGCACCTAAAAAGCAAAACAGCAAAGATTTGTAAGCATGCATTTGGAGTTTAGAAATTTCTAACCTATACAAACTAAAATAAGCTAAATAGACATTGAAGGTTTTATAATTGAATAGACTGTTTTATAGGACATGGTAAATAAAATCTAAAATTCTTGATTTGTTTCACACTAAGTCTGTTCCCCACCCCAGTCCTCCAATTTCCACCCCTACCAAAAAGCAAAGACTAAGGAGAACTCACAAATCACTCTGGAAAAACTTCAGCAATCAATTAATTATAATTATTTCTTTTTTTTGTACTGTTTCTATCATATAGTTGGCCATTTTCATTGCAATTTTGGTGTTTTTATTCCAGAAACAGGTAATTTTCATACCACTTTTCTTATTCTCTGATGGCTTGGGGTTACTGTCAAACTATGTGTAGCAGGGCCGTTTGCATTCAGGAACGTATGATTAACCACCCTGCATAATGATATGCAGGGCACAATTTTGCTCTCCATTTAGTCTTTAGGGGGGTTCTAGACTGAAGAAACCTTTTTATGCCCTAATACAACACAGAAAAATAAAATGTACTTCCCGAAAGTATTTACAAATAAAAAGTTAGAAATAAATGTTATGTCAGAGAGAAATATAAAAGTACACCAACTTAATTTTTTTTGGATGGCTCTGCCGTTACCAAGATGATCAGAATATTTTGCTTTAAGGTATTCCCACGAGACTTGCCAAAAACATTTAAAATTTTTTTAAAAACTCAGCGTCAACAAGAACTGGTGACAAAAACATTTGCTACTTATTCTCCAATCAGAGCTAACTAGGTCTCTACATGAAAGTCTACTTGGAAATAAAATTAAATTTTGTTATAACATTTAAGTGATTGCAAAATGAAATTCCAAAGCTATTTCCTATGCTTTTAGTCCACACTTGCCATGTGAAACAGTGAAACTTGTAAACCATAAAGCTTATTCAGTTTTCATTTCACTTCTGAACCCTTAGCAGGAAAATGCCATTAAAATAGAGTGAAATGAGCCAATTTTCTGTTCATGCATTCCCCAGCAAATAATCAAGGTTATTCTAAATGAAGAACCAAATAAAAGTGGCCCCAATGTTCAAATTAGAATTTTAACACATTTCAAAACTAGAAATACATCTATTTTAGCAGGGAAAAAATGAAATGAATGGCTGTGTACTTCAATTCAGGGATGCTGCACACTGCTGTGTAGTCCGTGCTTTGCACAGCTTGGGTGGGAAGGGGTCGCCTTTCATATTGTAGTCCATGTGAAGAGCACCATCTGAAATTGTGCAGTGCACAACCTGGGCAGCCACAAGTGGTGGTATTGTATCAGTTCATGCAAAGTCGTTGATTCCAGTAAATTTCAATAGTATTTTGAGGAATTTTATTATCCCAAATACCATTTAAAAGTAGTTTTGAGTTACGATATGTCAATATGTTAATATGTAGTATCAGAATTATTTGTAGCTGTTATTACAGGCTGAGAAGAAACTTGAAAGCTGCCCTGCAGTTGCGGGGTAATTCAGTGAATAAAGCAGCAGGAAGTCCCAGTGGAAGCCCTTGCGATGTCACTTGCAGGGCACTCACTTGTCCTCTGAAGTCTTTTCCCTTTGCAAAAGCCTTAGACCAAATGGTGTCCCCTTCACCATGGGGATTTACTACGCCTGCCGAAGGAAAGGTTCTGTAACTCCAAGAGAGCAAGTCATTCTTTGAACTACTCAGTAATTTATCATTTTAGGAAATCTCACTCTGCCCTCTTTGCTCCGTGCCCCTCCACACAGTCTGAGAGTTCTAACTTCAAACCCAGCCTTCCACACGTGATTACAAACATGTATTTGTCAGGTAGGAAGGTAGAACCTATTGTATTTCACAATTCGTTAACTTGATTTATAATTTTTAAATATATGGATATAAGTATGTGAATCTTAGTTTGTACTAGGGTGATCAATGGTCCCAGATTGCCTGTGACTGAGGGGATTCCTGAGACATTGGACTTTAAGTTTTAAAACTGGGGCATTCTCGGCCAAATCCTTCCAGCCTGCCCAGGATGAGAGGCTTTCACCGCTTAAACTGGGAGGAATTGGTCACTCTGGTTTGTTCTCATGCCCTCACGGACCCCTACACACGTAAGAGAAGAGCCTGTGTTTACCATCACTTTTACACGTCCAACTCCATAAGAATATGTAAAAAGACTGAGGATTCAGAGCCAGAGTTATCTCAGCCACACATTTAAAAGGCCTCAGTGAATATGAATGACGTACAGGTCTAATCTGCCTAGTCGCAGAAAGAGAACACCCAAACACACTACCCACGCAAAACCCCCAGGAAGATCCAAGAACATCAAACCAATCTGATGCATCAAATGTCAGGGATAGAAAACAAGATTCAGGGGATCAAAAACAAAGAGTTTAGCCCATAATCTAGAAAACAGGTCATTTTCCAGAGTTATGTTCAGATCAGTGCATGCCTTTCCTACCAAGTGCACCAGCAAAGCCACCAGGCCATATCTAAACTTTCTGAAAAGCACTATTTTTTCCTAACTTCATTTTCCCAGATGTATGAGAAGTACTGTCACTTTACTTTTGTTGCCAGGAATAGCCAAATTTAGTGAAGATTATGAAACTCGCAGAACGACAATGCGGGAGGAACAATAACAGGCTTTTTGTTTTCCCTCCCAGGCGTACTGTGTTGTGTCTGACAAGGGGTCTACTCACACGATAAAGAAACGCCTGTCAGTATAACAGGTTTAGGGAGACTGGCACAAGGGAGGACGCACAGATCTAGAGTTTATGAAAAACGAGGGACGCATCACTCCAGTTGACCCCAACCCATCAATATTTTTCTCCTAGCAACTTCTCAGTCAAGCAAAACCTCCCATGACATTTACACTCCAATAGCGAGATATTTATTAACATCATTTTAAATCCAGACAGAAAAAATACTACTTCCTTTTTAGACCTCTGGCAATGGTCAAATTTTGAAAATATCCTGCCATTTTTAAGTCTAACTGGTTCCTTTAACTTAGTTTAAATATGTTCATTATATGCCATTACATACTGTTATATGCTAAAGTTAGGAACAAACGCTTGTTGGAGATATTCAGGACTAAAAGGTCAATGAGGAAGGACAAAGACGAGCTATGAGGAAAAAAGTTCAATGAAAAGACAATGAATTAAAGACAGAGAAGCAGCTTTGCTCTTAAGCCACGCCCTGGTAGTGGCATTTGAAGAAGGTTATTATGCTTCCTTGAATGCTGTCCTAGTAGGGCCCATCACATAAGAAATCTCAGATTTATGCAGAAAGAGGTGGCATCAAGCTCTAAAGCTTCATGTTGCGAATCTATAGAAATCTGGGAACTCCATTCAACCCACCGGCGCTCCAAATTAGTGGCAGATCTAGACTCCTCTACAGCGCGACTGTAAAAGCCACAACTCCTTCCCAGCTGAAAGAAGATCAGGGCCTAGTACCAACGTCTGCTCACCTGATGGTCAAATTCTGGTTTTGGATGAGATTGCTAAGCGTCCTAAGGTGCCGCACTCACTTTTACGTTGTTCTTGACCTAAGGAATGTTGTCAAGAATTACAGGAAGGGAGTAGCCAGTCCAGAGTGCAGCCTGAAGCGTCCCCAGTGAAGGGAACAGAGGCGACTATAGCTGAGCCATGGCCACCCTCCTGACCAAGATCCACAGTGAACGGGTGAGGCACACACCTCCAAGAGATGAACTCTTAGGGCATTAGGCTTCTACACACAAGAGACAGAATCACTTTTTTCTTTTCTCAACAGCATGAAACCCAAGCACTTCACCATGCTCTTAATTCCATGCTAGAATAACCTAAAGTGGGGCCTTTTTATTTCAACCTTCTAACCTCAGTGATAGCTCATGAGTAAATCTTATGACTTTCTGTAAAACTTTGTGAGCAAATCTTTATGACTTTTTAACTGTAAGATTCTATAGTTAAAGGAAAAATGCATTTGTAGAATAAAAAAATAAATTGTGGGAAGAGAAGAAACCTGACAGTATGGTTCATTTTCCATTCTGCTACCAAGATAAAAATAATGGGGAGGCCAGAAAGACACATCTGTTTCCTTCCTTTAAGCTTGTAGTATCCCTGTAATGCTATTAAAAAAAAAAAAAAGAAAAGAAAGAAAAAAAAGACTTTTCTTTCAATTCTATTTGCTTGAAATAGTGTGATCTTGAAAAATATTTCAAAGAATTCCATATGATAAAGCAATAGCAAAAGATCTGTTCTATTCAAATAAACTGTCCTTGCTTTGTCAACAGTGTTTTTTTCTAACACATAAGGGACCAGCCTTTTGATTTTCAGCTCCATCTCCTCTTCCCTTTCTGAACAGCAGGTTGAACTCAGGGCCCGAAAACACTAGGGGTTCGGATGTCTGGGTTTCACTTCTGGCTGAACCACTAATTTGCTATGCAGCACTGGGAGTCTCTTCCCTTTTTCTGTAACAAAGGAGTCTTCCATAAGACAGGAGAGGATAATAGCCTTGGCTTTGGCAACTCCTCGGGAGCTTCAGGAAGCATAATTAATTAACATTAGTACTCCTGAGATATAAAGAGCTATTTAAGTATAAATCTTAATTATCATGATTATCATGAATCTATGGCCAAACCATGCTCCCCTCGGTTATTTAAGGCAGAAAAGCAGGTAGAACGTTCTTTCCTTTCGCCCCCGGGGCCAAGAAATGGGTCCTGACAAATAGCCTAAGGGACAAACAGTAGAAAGCCAAGGGGGGAGCTTTACATTTTTTTAATGCATAACATTTGGAGAAATTTCCTCTCCCTGTGTTCTTTGGCCTAAGTTCACCGAATCTGAATCTGCCAGTTTGGGGCAATTTTAAATGCTGCAGAGAACTCTGGTTCATTCAGACGTCATGAATCTTTTGATAAAACGGCAAGAAAGGAGTAGCTGTGGGAAAAGCTCTTCCAATATTTATAGTTTGTTCCTGACGCGCATTTCGCATAGGAGGCAAATGCTC